CAAACTTTGCTTTAATGTTTTGGTTGAAGCTAGACACCAAAAGTAGGTTTATCTGAGCGAACAAGGAAAAATTTAATGACACAGCCTTAGTTTCTAGCTTGGTAACAGAGGCCCAGTGTTATGATTTTATAGCTGATCCTACAGGCCTTACAAAAACTAAATTTTTTTTGGGGGCATTTTAGCTACTTATGCTTATGAGGAGTGTAGCCGAACCTTAAATTCTATTTAACCCGGGGAGGGGAATTGGGAGAGAATTTGGGAATCCGTGGATGGATGGCTAACATTTCGTTGCTTATGCAATGAATTGCTGAAACCAAGTAGAACTAAGTAGAAACTTGTACAATAGGCAAAAATCTTGGCGAGGGAACTTAACTAAGGCCAAGGCCATGGTAGTCAGATAGACAAATTAAGTTAGCAAATTGGAAAGAAAAAATTTATAATTTACAGAAGGTTACCAATTAAACATCGATAGTAACATTCTATTATTTACAAGCTAACATGTTAGTGAAGAAAAAAACACTAGTGTATTATATAACATTCTAGGAAAGCTAACTATTGAGAAGAAGAAATATTGTAATAAATAGCTACTAACAATATTATAAAGGTATAGAACCACATTTAAAGACTAATACTTAAATATCATTGTTGAAGTACCAAAAATTATTCTAGTTTATCTCTCTCATTAGTCTAAATGCAATCTCTAGAAATTTGCAACATATGACTACCTTTACCACATGAGAAGTTTTTTAAGAGTTGAGAATTTTATCCTTACATTCTGTTGAGAGGAGGTCAAGTGCACACCTTACGAGAATCCTTCAGTCAACCGAGAATGACAAAGAAAAGTTAAAAGAGCTTAAATAGTTCAATAGATCCATTCACCTATTATCTTACAACAAAAAAACTAGAACCAAGTATATACTTTAGCTCACACAATGACACCATGATCTCAAGTGATTTCTAAGATCAAAGAACCAAATTAGTAAAAATCAAATAAAGAATGAGAAAAAGAAATCAATAATAATGATTAATGTGATCAGTGATGACTCTATTACTTGTTCCTTAAATACTCCAGAGATTTACTCCCATAAGTCTAAGAAAGAAACAAGAAAAGTGACATTCTTCTAGAAAAGAGAAGTCATATTGGCTATGCATCTTGTCTTTGGCCTGTTAAGAGTCTTGTAAGATTGTCTATCACCAAAGGATCCTTCAGTATCAAATTACTTTGCATTTGGTAAAAAGATTCCTAACACTCTTTGCCTTGATAATTCATCCATGTTTGATTCGCAGATATAGTACCTCTACCGCTATGGAAACTATGCGTAATTTATTTCATGCTTCTTTTAGTGGAGATAAAAACTATAGTATAAAAAAGTGGTGGTAAGAAAAATTATATATTAATTCATCAATTTTTAAGTACAGGTGTTTGTTAGCTTGAATCCAAAAATTGTTGTTTTCTTGTAGCTATAATAGGATATAGCATGACCTTGCAAAATGTAACTACCTAGAACTTAGAATGATTGGTTGAAGAACTTCTTGAAAATTTTTAAACAAGCTACTCATTTCCCAAATTTCTTTGTAAAACCAAAGGTGTTATTTTTCGCAAATGGCATCTCCACAACCCTTCCATAAAACCTGAAATAGAGCGTAGTTTGTGGTATATAAACATTAACCCAGTCAATATTTGTGATCTAACCTAATACTTCATAAAATAATTGTTCATTTTCAAAATGTTCGTCAATATTTGTTTTAGTTGTTGATTATATTTGGTGATCTTATAATTTCTGCATGCACTTATGCTATATAAACTTTTCTAACCTCCTGATAACATTTTTCTCCAAGCATTGAGTATGCATTGCTAGTGTCAAACACTGTTGATTCATGAGTGCTGCAATTTATAGCTCTAGAGCCTATAGAAATGTTTTCTATGTTCACCCCCTGGTGTTTTCCCTTTATATAATCTCTAACTTCAATAAATTTTAACTTCAAATCAACCAGCCCATCTAAAAATTTCATAGTCCCTGCTAACAATTCATTATTTCCATACACACTACAAATCTCTATGGCCTTTATATTTGCCATTCGACCCATCTACTTGAAGAATAAGGACTAGTCCAATCCAAGAGAGAGTATTCCATCTATAATTTTCAATTTCCCCCATGGAGTGTCTCATAAAAAAATTGAATAACTCACTAGAACTTTGCTACTTCCACTGTTACCATTGATCTAAACATCCCATGTTTCCACCATTACACCATAGTTTTATATTTTTCATTTCCATACTCCACTTGGACATTGTAAGTTTTGCCCTAAAACAAAAATTTAGTTTTTGTAAGGCTTGTAGGTATAACACTATGCCTCTATTACTAAGCTAGAAACTAAGGTTGTGTTATTGAATTTTTCCCTATTCGCCCAAGTAAACTTACTCCCAATGTCTAGCTTCAGCCAAAACATTAAAGCAAAGTTTGAACTAGTAGGAATCGCAAAATCCACATGAGGTATATGGGACTCATCAAACATGACTTTTAAAGGATGATACTATAGCACAAAAAAGTGCTAGTAGGCTTGATATAAAAAAATTCCTTTTTAATTAGTTTATAAGATAGAAGTTATTGAGTTGAAAATCTCAACTTTACAACTAACATTGAAGCATGAATTAAATGATAATAAAGACTTGGAATTAAGGCTTATTCAACTTGAAGGGATATATGAGAATCAACATTAAGCTCTTCAATATATGGAAGCAATTCAACAAGAAAGAAACTTTAGATTTGATAAAAAATTTGTAAAGGTATTTTAAATTGGAAATCTAGCTATAAAATATAATAGTAGAATTGATAAAATATTTATGAAAAGCTTTTTCCATGATAATGTGATAAGATGACATATATCAAAAGTTTGAAGTCTAAATAATAGACTATATTTGCTAGTAAATCTTGATGGAGAAAAATATAACACTCAAGTGAATGAATATAGATTGAAAATATTTTATATTCGATTATTAACAACACTACTGTTGGGTGTAAAGTCCTAAATTTGGATTTCCCGAGAAGTCACTTAACCTAGTATTATTCAAACCCAAGGACGCTTAACCCCAAGTATCTCAAAACCCTTAACGGATTAGCAAAAAGAGATGCACTCTTATTCATAGGCCTTTTCCCTTTATATTTGAACCCTATAGATTATTTATGAAATTGTTCTTTTTTATTGCTTATAATTTACCACGCTTCTTTACAAGTTCACGCCCTCATGAACGGAAGTTGAGAGCTGTAACTTTTTCGAAAGCCCTACTCTCTTGACACCCTATCCCTTAGGTCGAGTCTAACTAGAGCAAACTAAACCTACCAAATGTCAATCAATATATGGTGTGATTCTTTAAACCAACCAACAGAGCTAAACCTAATACCCACTCTAATACCAAATGTAACTTCCTGAATTTAAACTTTTCAAGAAGTTACATAGCCCAATACTTTTCAAACCCAATGATGCTTAACCCTAAGTATCCCAAGACCCTTAAACAATTGAAAAAAGTATTTATGAGCCTTTTCCCTTTATATTTGAATTTTATGAATTGTTTTTCAAATCATTTTCTTTGGTTACTTATATTGAGTTACAAACAATCAATATGGCTTACAACTATACACCTTATTTGTGTAAGATTATATGACAGGAAAAATCTTCAATAAAAAACGCTATATTCAAAGTCGAGATATATATAAATATAACTACCTTTCCTCTATAACCTAATATTTGAAGTTAAATTCAAAAACAAGTAAAACCAAATCCCTTTAGAATTACTCTTTTCTTTCTATATCTATTTTACTCTATCATAAATTTTATCTTCCACCAAATTTATAAAATGATTTATTATATAACTCTCATATTTAAGTATACCTTCCAACCTTGCAAAGATTTCTGTCACCATTCAAAAATGTTTTCTTATTTAATATATGCATTTAACAATGGTCAAATCTACCACCTTTTTTACCAATATTTTATAATATTAACAATAACACATAGAATATAATTTAAAGACTATATAAGGAGGAACCTTTCATAACACAAGGCATTAGAAAGGGGGTGCTCTCCAATATGTTATTCATCCAATCAATTAATGTGGCACCAACCAATTTTACTAGTCATATTCAACTATTCTTATATCCAATGCTTCAAAACACGCTGTGCACCACAGCGTGTTGGCGTGGTGACACGAACACGGCCCCTAGCCGTGTTAACACGAGCCATGTTCATTGACTCGGTCAATGCTCCAAAACACAGCTCCAAACACGGTTGAAACATGGTCAAATATTGTGTGACCACGCTGTGTTCTAAAACAATAGTTCACGTGGTTCACGTGAGTGTTTTGTGCTTTGATGTTTTCTTGTCTTGCGATCAATCAAAAATTCCTGCGATCAATCAAAAGGTTTTTCCAGCGATCTATGGTGATTTTCTTGGGCTGGGAATGCCCTCTCTAGGATTCTAGTGCTGGAGTGAGAGGAATGGCGCTCATCCACGCCTGATTTCGCTGCAAAAAATTCCTGATCATTATCTCCAAGTTTGTAGATTTTCTCTCCCAAATTTTCTCTTTGGATTACTTCTGCCATAATTCTTAGCTGCTTGGCATTGCATCTTTGTAGATTGCTGTGATTCTTAGTTGCTATCACTTCAAAAAAGAGGAATTGCTTAGTAGTGAGCCAGATTGCAGACTTGGTATTTGTGGCCAGTAATACCAAGTTGATAGGGAGCCACAAGTTGATGATGATCCTACTAATGAGGAGCTTCTAGATGAGATGGAGTAATAAGTAGAATATTCTAGAGAATATTCGTGTTTTCACCCGTGTTTTTCCGTGTTCATTTCTGTGTTCCATGTTCGTGTTCAAAAAATTGAATGCCGTGTTCGTGTTCGTGTTCGTGTTTTGAAGCTATGCTTATAACTCTAAAGCCTAGGTTTGTGATTTCATTTTAGTGAATTCCATTTTGTGTTTGGTTTTCCTTTAGCACAGCCGGTTGATGACCTCTCAAAGCAGGAGAAGCTCGAGGCGCGAGTTTTTCCTGAGGGGTGGAGCTCCAGTGCGCGAATCAAGAGGCTGGATGCTACCTCGCTCGAGCAGATTCGAAGAGGAAGCCTCTACCTAGATATGGCGATATTTGGATAGATTCTTGTGCGGGTATGTTTAAGGTGAATTGGTTTTGAGATACAAGAAGGCAAGGTATTTAAAATTCTTTTTCGTTGATCTAGATTGCACTGTCCGATTTAGATGTATTACACAACTGAACCGGATGTGCATGGAAATGAAGCATCTCCAGTTGCGTTTGCCATTGCCGAGCTCCTCGAGTCCATTCCCTTGTTCATGTGGAGTTTGAATGTGTATGGCGGTCGGTACCAAACTTCAGAGCTGCCTGCTTCAAGCAGGTTTGTGCTTGTCAAAAGCCATCCATTTTAATGATCGAACTTGATACGTGCAGGAAAATTCTGAAGGAAAATGGACGAGAGTGAGTGCTGCTGTACCGAAGGGACGACTTTGAGCGAGTGCCGGAAATTTTTGCTCTTTGTGCAACAAAGTGTGCTATAGTGTAAGCATTCACAGAAGCACTGCCAGCTTTCACTAAAAACACCTACTTTATTTCTTTTCAGGAATGATAAACTGGCAGATCAATGAAAGTCCGTGAGGAGTCTTCACCACGAACGCTCTTAGTTTGTCCTTCCTGCCCATGTATCGGCACAACTCAGGATAATTTGTTCTCTCGTATCAACTGCTCCGTTTCAGCCATAGTGTTCCTCGTCTGCACTTCGTTTTGCAATTCATTCTTAAACACGAGGACATCTCGGTCAAGGTGCATCAATGTAAGCTTTGATAAAATGAAACTCTCCTCTAAATTCAATAAAATTCCAAATGATCACTATTACTACTGGCAAAACCTTATATTTGGGTTTATTATGGCTACAGCGCCATTGCTTTGCTGCGCGCCTAGCGCTCGGCTCGACCTCTCCGGCAAGCGCGTTGTGGTAAGCATTGCTTCATATGGATTCACATTCCTTCGCCTCTCACAGGTGGTTGGATTGGGTTCCTCCGGCAGGGCTGCGATTAGGCTTGCCCTGCTTCGTGGAGCCAGTGTCATTGCTGTGGACAAGAATGACAAGCTTGCGCCTCTCAAGGTAAAGTGGAGTTTTGTTTTCTCGTGCTAGAACTTTTTTTCTTTCAAGGAAGATCCTGCATTCCATGGCTATGAAATGGATCGGGTCAGCACCGAGCTCGGTCCTCATCAACTGGAAACGTTTCTCAGTGCTTCCAGAATTGTTGTCTCGCCAGGAGTTCCACTTAGCGAGCCCATTCTCGCCTATGCCATGGACTCGGTAAGTTCGTTTTTGAGTATCAACGGAGCTCCTAGAATTTATTTTATTTTCCAGGGCATTCCAACGATATCGGAGCTCGGATTTGCTGCTGAAGCGTTCCCGAAAGCTGTGAAAATTGCTGCTGTGACAGGCACCAACGGAAAATCTACGGTCACGACCTTTACTGGTCAGGTAAAGTTTGCTGTTGCTCGCTTTTTATCTCCTCTTGTCCATAGCACAGATTTCGTGGTGGAATAGATTTTGCAGCAAGCTGGAGTGCGGACTTTCGTAGGAGGAAATCTCGGGACACCATTCTCTGATGCTGCGTGCGAGTGTTTTAAGTTCCCTTCCGACGATCCTCCTTACCAGGTAAGTGCTTGAAGTTTTTGGTATCGTTTCTTCATACGGTGGCTAACTCCAGGCAGCGGTTTTAGAAGTTAGCAGCTATCAACTGGAGCTTCCGGGATCTTTTTCCCCGTCTGTGAGTACCGCCCTTCCTTGCATTCTGAGTTTTTACTGTTTTGTGATGCGCAGGTTGGCGTGATTCTTAACTTGTCGCCCGACCACTTGGAGCGCCACAAGAGCATGGAAAACTATGGCGAGACAAAGTGCCGGCTGTTTGAGCGTATGGATTCCTCGAAGTTATCCATCATTCCTCATGGTAAGACTTTGGACATTGAAATCGATATAACTATGGTGTCTTTAATATTTTCCATGCTGACATGAGTTTTCCACAGCGGACGAGTTCCTGAGAAAGGTTGCATATAAGTATAACAGTGGCAGCACCAAAGCCTGGCTTGGAGCACTCCCTGGCGTTCAGGTGTTCCGGTTTTTTATTCCGTATTTCTCTTTGGATGTGCTGCTAAGTTGTGCTCATTTGTCTCCTCATTTCTCAGCTTGATAGCCAGGCAAGGCGAGCCGTCGTGGTGGTTCCAACAACGAAAGCTGAAGCCCGATTATATCTCAGTGGATTGAAAGCTGTTGGTTCCCACAATGCTCAGAATGCTGCCACTGCTTCCTTGCTCTCTCTCGCGCTGGACGTTGGTGTCGACGAGCACAAACTGCAGGCAGCGATTGGACAACTCACACCTTTACCTCATCGGATGCAAATTGGTATGCTTTCCATTTTTTTTCGTTTCTCATCGCTGGGGTCTTTGTTCTTCTAGTTGGACAAGACAAGAAAGGTGTTTTGTGGATCAACGACAGCAAGGCCACGAATGTGGATGCAGCTTACACGGGCATCAAAGGCCTCGCCGATCGAAAAGCTGTTATACTCCTCGGAGGTCTCGCGAAGGTAAGTTAAAAACTACTTTAAAAATCATTTCTCTTGCTCGCAGGTGCTTGATGAGGATGGAAGCCTTGGATTCAAGAAACTAAGCGATCTCCTACAAAATCACAGGGCCATCGTCACAGTAAGCTCGGGAAAACTGTGTCCATGCTACTCACATTTTCCCGTTGTAGTTCGGTGCATTTGGCGAACAGATCGAGAAAGAGTTGAAGGAAGCCAACGTTTCAATCCCATGCTTCCGTTCCCTGACCATGGAAGATGCTGTAGCTAGAGCTGAGAAACTCTCCAAACAAGGTATTCATTGCTGGAAGCACGCTTTCTTTATTCATCTCATCATCTTTACAGGAGATATAATTCTTCTCAGCCCAGCTTGTGCCAGTTTTGACGAGTTTCGCAACTTTCAGCATCGAGGGGAAGTGTTTGGACAGCTTGCAACTCGATACATAACATCGACGACGTAAAGTTCAGTTGTTCTTCCTCACGGTACGTGCGATAGTCTGGCTTCTTGCAACTACTTGTGGTGCTTGTTTCCAGGATCACCAAGTGCATGTTTCTGGATCGCGAAGCTGGCTTTGATAAGCATTGGACAAATTTTCCCGAGGTAAGAATGCCATATCTTTGTGATTCTCTAATGATCTTCCATTGTTGCGATGTTTGGAAGTAGAAAACGTTGTCAAGATATGGGAGTTCGAGTCGTCATATCTTCGCTCTAGCAAAGCTCATGGCCTAATGGCGATCAAGAACAAAGAAATCGAATCGTATGCCTCGCTGCTAAAGTCTTGCGGAGAGTCGAGAGATTTAGCCGAGGGAAAGAGCGTGGTTGTATGCATTGCCAAGAGCAAGTATAGGAGGAATCTTTATCTCGCCAATCTCACCATTGAGATGTATGGCAAGTGTGGATGCCTGGAGCGCGCACAACACGTCTTTGACGCCTTGGTAGCTCCAAATTCCCACTCCTGGAATATTCTCCTCACGGCATATGCCCAAAATGGGCATATCCACGAGGCGATGCTTTTGTTCGAGAGAATGGCAGTGAGAGATGCTGTGTCCTGGACAGTGATGCTCAAAACGCTGGCCCAGCACGGCCGGATCGAGCTAGCCATGCTACTCTTCCAAAAGATTCCACGCAAGGATCAAGTCGCGTGGAATGTTCTCCTCTCGGCTCTTTGCGATTCTTCGAATCCACTCCAGGCTGTGGACTTCTTCGAGAAGATGCCCGAGAAGGATTCTGTGTCGTGGAACACGATGATCACGCTCTATGCCCGCGCTGGAGAGATCAATCAGGCAATAGATATGTTCAAAGGAACTCCATTTCGTGACACCGTATCGTGGAATATTGTCATAGAATCTCTGGCTCACCATGGAATGATCGCCCAAGCATTCGAAATGTTCCAAAAGATGCCAAATCCAAACGTTATCACCTGGACCATCCTCGTAACGGCATATGCCCAGCTTGGGAATATGCAACAGGCACATTCCCTGTTCGAGAAGATGCCGAGCCCCAACGTGGTGACGTGGACGGTCATGGTCCTGGGATATTCTCGTTTTGGGAATCTTTCCAAGGCAAGGGCAATGTTCGACCAGATGCCGCAACGAAACGTCATCGTCTGGAACATCTTGGTGACGGCATATGCCAATAGAGGGCATATTCGCGAGGCGGAGATTCTATTCCAGAAAATGCCCGAGAAGAACGTGGTGTCGTGGACGGCTATGATCGCAGCTCATGCCCGGAATGGCGCGGCAATGGACGCCATCCGGATGTTCAAGCTCATGGATCTAGAGGGCTTACAACCAGACAAGGCAACGTTTCTCACAGTTCTCGATCGATCCATCGTCTACAGCGATCTTGGATTGGGGAAATTGGTCCACTCCACATTCGCGAATCTAGGGCTCGAGCAAGACGCTGGAATCGGCAATGCGCTGGTGGAGATGTACGGAAAATGGGGCAGCGTGGAGGAGGCCAGGTGTGCGTTTGAGAGCACAGTCACGCCGGATACCGCCACGTGGAACTCGCTGATTGGCGCGTGCGCACAGAGTGGGCATGCTACGGAGGCGCGCGAGCTCTACCGGCTTATGACATTGGAGGGAATCCCGCCCAATGGGCTGACGTTCATGGCCGTCCTCTCGACGTTTAGCCGCGTTGGTCTCCTCGACCAAGCGCGTGATCAATTCGTGTCGATTCACAGCGATTTCGATCAGATTCCACTTCTAGAACACTACCAGTGTATGATCGATCTCCTGGGTCGATCCGGATGGCTCAATTTCGCGGCGCAGCTCGTCGATTCCATGCCCTTCGAGGCCGATTTCGTGACGTGCATGGCGCTGCTCTTCGCGTGCCGGGTTCACGTGGATGTCACACGTGGCAGGGACGTGGCGGAGAGGGCCTTCCAGCTGGACCCGGAGAATCCCATGCCGTACGTCGTGCTGTCCAGTATATACTCTGAGTACGGCGTCAGGAGGGCCGTCCGATCGTTTCGTGAGAGGTGCAGCGGTCCACGTCCGCATTCCAAACGGCCATTGGTGGCACGTTAACGGTAGCAGACACGTCACGCCCGCCACGCGGCCGTCCGAAAGTTCTCTGCTCCGTACACGTGTCAGGCAGCGACGGTGCCTCGACATTCCCGCTCGGACACAATCGACGGCTGGGAAAAAAGCCAGGCTTTCTACTACGCGTTGCTTTCTCGTGGGGTAAGGTCCACCCTAGGCCTTTACACTGTTCTCTCATTCCATTCTCATTTTCTCTTTCTCCCTTACCCGGGACGCCGCCTATTCCCGATCGATCGAGCGATGGCGCAAGCAAGCAATGCAGCGATTGCTAGCCGTTTCTCGAGCTCTAGATAGGAGAAATCTATCCATTCTTCCATCGTCCATTGTCGCGTAGCACAGCTAGAGCGCTGCGTCACAGGGTTTAGGCGCTCCTTGCTCGCCAAGCAAACGGGAAAGGCAAATTGATCCAGCGCGCAATCGCAAGCGTCGGGAGCGTTTAAATGCTCGTTGCCGGCGGTATTCCAGGCCTCGATCGACAAACCCCATCGTCATTCATCGGTTTTTTGGGAGAAATATCGATCCAGAAGGTATTCCATGCATCCTCTCTCTAGATCTTGTGACATCAATGCGCCGCTGTTCATCGTCTAGGTCTCTTCGGGCGAGGATTTCTCTGCGATTTCTCCCCCACGCTGTGGTTTGACATCGAAATATTTGTTTATGTGCTACAGGAGGGCGCCTTGATCCATCCGGACGCCTCTCTCTGTTGCTGATGGAATAGATTCTCAGATCGATCGATCGATACCAATCATCGCCAGGGTCGTTGCCAGGAATTGGAGAAAGGTTTACTTTAGAACAGGAAGGTAGGCCTACAGGAATTTAGAACAGGGAAGGAAGTAGACAAAGAAAAAGAAGAAATGGGTAACCAGAGCAGCCGGTCACTCTCGCCAGGAGAAAGTTTGAGCAGCATAGATCTCAGCGAGTACGAGAGAGTATGTGCCATGGATCCAGACGTGAGAAAATTTGGGGATGGGCTCAAGGAACGAACAGAAAGGGTGCTCCAGAGCATGGCGGCCGGGGTGGACGAGAGGGGACTTTCATTCCAGTCGTTAAAGGATGTGACCACCAGCTTTTTAGAGCTCGACCAGGAGGTTGTGAACGTAATTCTCAACTACAAGAAGGACGTGTGGGCAAGCGACTCGCTGTTTGAGCTGGTCAAGGACTACTTCGACAACAGCATGGCTACGCTAGACTTTTGCGAGGAGCTAAACAAGTGTATCAAACAGGCCAGGGAGAACCAGATGTCGATCCAGGTAGCGATCAACATGATGCCCAGCGAAGGAGATCCAAACGAGGAGCAGTGCCAGGCAATTCTCAAAGAGCTCAACCAGTACGTGGACGCCGGCAACCCCTTCACGGACGAGTTCATGGAGAAGTTCCAGACCGTCTACCAGAAGCAGATGGAGCTGCAGAGAAAGCTTCAGGCGAAGAAGAAGTCGCTGGACAGGAAGCTGCGGTATGTCCGCGGCTGGACGAAGGTGTCGACGATCATCTACGCTGCGACTTGCGCGGCGCTGGTGATCTGTGCGGTGGTGGCGGCGGTGATGACAGTCCCAGCGATCGTAGGGGCGGTGGCAGCGGTATCGTCGATGCCACTCGAGACCCTGGGAAGATGGATCAAGTCCTTCCTCACCAAGTACGAGAAGGAGCTCCAGGCACGCCGGGATCTGATGAGAGAAGCGAACTTCAAGACGTTTGTGACGATCAAGGAGATGGACACGATACGAGCGCTCATCAACAGCCTCAGGAACTCCATGGAATCGATCGTCCACTGCATACAGTTTGGGCAGAGGCACGCGGACGGCTTTGGCATGCATCTGGTGGTGGAGCAGCTCAAGAGCCGGCAGAGCGCATTCATTCGGGATCTGGACGAACTGGAGGAGCACGTCGATCGCTGCAGCAGGGACATCCGGAGGGCCAGACTGGTGGTTCTTCGCCGGATCGTCAAGAAGAGATCCAAGAGCTTGTGAGAATTGGTGGACAGCTCTCGCGGCTCGCCAGGATGATCGTTTGAAGTAGCTTCTCCATCCTCATCTGTGCTCCAAAGTTTCGAGAAAACAAAAAAACATTGATTCATTGTAAATAATAGTTAGGTCAATAAATTTTCAATGGTCAGCCCTAAGCCAATGATAAAAGGGTCAACAAATGGTCAACAGCTTTAAATGCGGAGGATCGCTGGCCACCGCCATTGCAGCACAGGCAGCGCTGGCATAGTAGAGGGATTTTATGTTTCTAGATGGGAACCACAAGATCTAAAACAGGTCATAGAAAATTAATATTCTAGGGAAGAGGTACAAAATGAAATTAATTAATGTTTTAAAATAGAGTTTTCCAACAATAAAAAATTCTAATATATATTAAATCCCTTTGTAGTTTTTAAAAGAAATATATTAAAATAATTAATTTTAATTAATTTTCTTTAAAATTATAAAAAACTAGAAGAGAAACTTATTGAGCAAATGTAACATTATCCAAGATAAGCCATCTCCCCTTAATAATAAAATGTTTATAAATTATACCATAAATATAAAATACTCAGAATTAGTACAAATACTTTATTAAATGAAAGTACTTTAAAATATAATGTATTTATTTTTTGGAAGAACAACAGTTTTATAATATGATTAGTATAGAAAATAGTTTTTTTTAACAGAAGGACTTGGTTCATAGAAATATAAAATATCTATAAAAATAGCATGAGAATTAAATTAATCAGGGAAGAGGGTGTACTAATATAATGATTATTAGAAACAAAGTGAATACAAGAATAAAAAATTTTACAATATATATTTATTAAATGGATATTATTTATGTTCAATTCTCCAGAGAAACCAAGGGTATATAGTTTTCAGAAAAACAGTAGTTTTAAAGTCCATTCATTTAGATCAAATGTGAGAATTTCACCTAATCAATTTCATCAGATTTTCCCTTACAGTACTATGTACACCAAACTTGAATCGACAATGACTATATCAAGCATTGCATGAACTGGTCGACCTTGACATTTTCATTGTATCCACACTTCCAAAACAGGTCCCTCAGCCTTCGGATGGCAACCACGGGACCAGCCCGCTTGCATTTGTCTATAACCTCCTCCTGAAACTCGGATTCCAGAGAAAAACACCTTGTCTTTCTGTCAGCCGCCTCAGTGGGGCTAACAGCTCGCCCGTCTTGCCTTGTAGCGCGAGAAACACCACCACGTAAAAAAGACACTCCAAGTCACTTGACAAGCAGCACTTCCCATTAAGAAGCGTCTGAACTGCTGTGAAGGCAAGAGTGCCCACTGCTTTACCTGGCAAACCACCCGTGACCGCAGAGCCAAAGTCGACCAAGTAGGGATGAATACCACCATGTCGATCAGTCCCAAACACGATGTTACCGATCGAAACGTCTCCATGAACAACACCCTCGCGGGAGAAACGGCCCAGTGTCATAGCAACCCCTCTAGCCAGGCTCAGGATTGCTTCAGCTTGCATGTCCAGCGTTATCTGCTGACAGTATCTCGTTACCAAGTAGCAATCCCCGTTTTGTAGCTTGCCACTGTAAAGAATAGGCAGCACACCGGCAACCTTCTTCTCAGTAAGCATGCCAAGAACGAAAAGCTCATCGTCCATACCCGGGCAGATCTTCACTGCAACGTCTGTCAAACTCTGTCCCTGTACCAGATTTGCCTTATAAACAAGGCAACCTCGATCTGAAGGAGAGGCATGCTTACGACCTTTGAGCGGATCATTGACAAGCACGGATAGCGACGCAGCTCGGCTGAGATAAGAAGCTCCCAATCTTTCCTCCTGTTTGTTCACGAAAGGAGAAAAACAAAGAGAAGAAGAAAATAAAAAAGGCACATCACTCTCTTCTCCAGTTGTCGACGCGATTTGCTCGTCGCTACACAATCCCAATTTGGTGGAGTTTGATCGGAACTGGACACCTAAGAACATGACACGCAACTTAACATCCTTTTGGCAAAGTCTCTATCGAATCGAACCTTGAAAGTGCGATGTCTACAATTGATTCATTTCCTTGCCAAGTGCCTGTTTTCTTCCTTCCTGGAACAAAGGTGGATTGGAAAAAAAACAAACACTCCAAGAAAGAACATTCGACTATAGCGCACTAACCTGGCTGCGTGTTCTTGCCTCCGATTCTCAAACCAATCCAAAACGCGTTTCCTTGGGACGTGAGTCAGCTCAACGATGTTTTGGATCAAAGCACCCTGCTCGAAAACCACGAGTTTAGTTAGAAAAAACACCGAAAGATTTGATCGAAAACTCACAGTCGGCCTCTTCGTACGTTGGAACACCTTCTCAAAAGTTTCCAAGTGTTCTTTCCGGATTCTCTTCTTCCCGTACCACGCCTTTGGACCTGTTCCTTGAGTATCACCCGGCAAGCCTATCCTTTCTACACGAGGAGAGTCGTTTTCCTCTTTGCCAGCTTCGCTATCTTGTTCTTGAGTGCCTGTTTGATCTTCGGGCTTGTCTTCTTCCTCGTCCGATTCCTTGTCGGATATCGAGTCAATCAGTTCGATGAGCTCCGGTGGAGGATCGCGTAGAAAGGTAAGAGCAGTCTGAGGCCAAATCCCTCCTCGAGACCCCAAGGATATCGTTGTGTAAATGTAAACTGATTCTTCTCGTCGGCCATATCCAGCTTCTGAACCTGGATTTCCCGTCTACAGAGCAACACCGCATACGCAAACTTCCTGCTCGATTGGGCCCTCTTTATAGCATTTAGCCTTGCTGTGGTTTCTCCCAAACATTCCGTGTATACTTCGGCTAACTCGTCCTTGAGCTCCATAACAAAAGCCACCAGCGACCACGATAGAGCGGCCGTGTCCGCAGTGCGAAAAGAGTAGTCCGGTTTATCTGAAGAACCGGGAATATCAGACCTGCTCGTGTCCTGCGCTATGCAGCCCATCCGATAACTTGCATTTTCTACACGGCTTCCCTGCTCCAAGATGCGAATGATCCTACCAATTGCCAGCTGAACTTCCCTTATCATCCATCTCTTTGTCGCGAGTCCGAGCCTCTTCCAAAGCGAGATCGATCAGACTTTTCTGTCCAACTTGTTCAAGAAGATAAGTTATTGCTGCCCCCAGTTGCGGTGCGTCTGTAAACTAACTTGTGATCTCCGAGGAGCATGAAAAGTTGTAGTCGTCGCTTTCTATTACTTGTCTACCGATGCCAACATACGACGTCGTAGTCTTCTGGCGCTTGGCAAAAGCCTTTTCTGTGGCCGCCTCAACCATGCGCTCGATCTCTATAAAAGCACAGAGAGATGAGTGAAAATATCATTTTCCAAAACCGATTTTTCACTGGACATAATAGCTACGTGATTAATTTTATCCGATATGGATATTGTTGACAAGAACATAGGTTATGCCATTCTCCAAACAGACTATGTCTCCAACCAGAAGATGTTTCCAGGAAAACAAACGAGCTTATATTGTTGGGCTGAACGTCATGTCTCAATTTTGTATGTGTTGGGATTGTTGGGTACAAACTCCATCCACTTGACCTGTAAATGTTCTGCAAAAAACACCTCCATCACATATCTAATTCTTCTCTCGATTCTCATGAAGGAAATTCATGAGAAACCACATCCAAAACCAAATAGAAGTTGTTCCAAATGTTCGACACAATGCATGCTTTGATATACAAGTCCAGTAACAGGTCAGACCTTAGCAAAGTGCCTTGGTCAAGTGTACAAGATGTATAGGATTGTAATCAACATGTCTCTTGTATGAGATTTGCTCTCCTTGATAACAGAAGCCATTGTTAAGACCCCGGCAAAGACAATGAGTTTCTCCGATTCCAGGCCATCCACAGAGCTATATTCTTGGGATATTTTATTGGGCCATATATATATATAGTTTAGGGTTTTCCATGGAGGGGATTTGGGTGCGGCATGCGGGGGGAGATGAAGCGCTGTGGTTTCCGTTGCTGCAGGGCGATCTTCCGATTGCCAGCATTGCTGGCTCGTGGCGTCTGGATCCTGCTACCTTGCGTCTAGGCCATTTTGCTCTAGTGCCGGGCGCCATGGAGTTGGAGGTGATCAGGCAGCTTGCGGTGTCTGCTGGGCTTGGTGACGGACGCTCTCAGCAGACCCCGATCGTGATCCGCGGGTGGAAAGCTTCTCCCGCTGGAGGATTAGCAAGTAGCGGTGCGTTGCGTGATCTGATATTTTCAGTCATCTCTCTGTGCTTTTATAGAGATCGAGCGCATGGTTGAGGCGGCCACAGAAAAGGCTTTGGCCAAGCGTCAGAAGACTACGACGTCGTATGTTGGCATCGGTAGACAAGTAATAGAAAGCGACGATTACAACTTTTCATGCTCCTCGGAGATCACAAGTCAGTTTACAGATGCACCGCAAGTGGGGGCAGCAATGACTTATCTTCTTGAACAAGTTGGACAGAAAAGTCTGATCGATCTCGCTTTGGAAGAGGCTCGGACTCGCGACAAAGAGATGGATGATAAAGGCTCCAAATGCGAGAGATATCGCAAGGAGGACCTGGGTTACAGATATATTCGAGGCCACGAGATAGAAGTTCAGCTGGCAATTGGCAGGATCATTCGCTTCTTGGAGCAGGGAAGCCGTGAAGAAAATGCAGGTTATCGGATGGGCTGCATAGCGCAGGACACGAGCAGGTCTGGTATTCCCGGTTCTTCAGATAAACCGGACTACTCTTTTCGCACTTCGGACACGGCCGCTCTATCGTGGTCGCTGGTGGCTTTTGTTATGGAGCTCAAGTACGAGTTAGCCGAAGTATACATGGAATGTTTGGGAGAAACCACAGCAAGGCTAAATGCTATAAAGGGGGCCCAATCGAGCAGGAAGTTTGCGTATGCGGTGTTGCTCTGTAGACGGGAAATCCAGGTTCAGAAGCTGGATATGGCCGACGAGAAGAATCAGTTTACATTTACACAACGATATCCTTGGGGTCTCGAGGAGGGATTTGGCCTCAGACTGCTTGTCGGAATCCTGCTGGCCGACGGGCGTGTGCATGGATTCAGTCCTCCTCCACAGATGCAGGGCCGCATAACTTTGGCGGATGGGAGTTATCTGCAGGACATGAAAGTCGTTGCTCTCAAAGGTCGTAAGCATGCCTCTCCTTCAGATCGAGGTTGCCTTGTTTGTAAGGCAAATCTGGTACAGGGACAGAGCTTGACAGACGTTGCAGTGAAGATCTGCCCGGGTATGGACGATGAGCTTTTCGTTCTTGGCATGCTTACTGAGAAGAAGGTTGCTGGTGTGCTGCCTATTCTTTACAGTGGCAAGCTACAAAACGGGGATTGCTACTTGGTAACGAGATACTGTCAGCAGATAACGCTGGACATGCAAGCTGAAGCAATCCTGAGCCTGGCTAGAGGGGTTGCTATGACACTGGGCCGTTTAGCCCGTGAGGGTGTTGTTCATGGAGACGTTTCGATCGGGAACATCGTGTATGGGACTGATGGACATGGTGGCATTCATCCCTATTTGGTCGACTTTGGCTCTGCGGTCACGGGTGGTTTACCAGGCAAAGCAGTGGGCACTCTTGCCTTCGCAGCAGTTCAGACGCTTCTTAATGGGAAGTTCTGCTTGTCAAGTGACTTGGAGTGTCTTTTTTACGTGGTGGTGTTTCTCGCGCTACAAGGCAAGACTTACTGGGGACGAGCTGTTACCCCCACTGAGGCGGCTGACAGGAAGACAAGGTGTTTTTCTCTGGAATCCGAGTTTAAGAAGGAGGTTATAGACAAATGCAAGCGGGCTGGTCTCGTGGTTGCCATCCGAAGGCTGAGGGACCTGTTCTGGAAGTGTGGATACAATGAAAATGTCCAGGTCGACCAGTTTGTGCAATGCTTGATATAGTTGTATGTTCATTGTCGATTCAAGTTTGGAGTACACAGGGAAAATCTGAAGAATTGAATTACAGTTGTTTTCCTTAATTACCCTTGGTTTTTCTTTTTCTAACCCTATTAAAGCATAAAATATATTTCTATACAGATATATTAGTTAAGAATTAATTGAAAACTAAGCTTTTAAATTTTAGTACATAATCAATGAAGTCAATTTAAAATTTATTATTTATAATTATATAGAAAATACTTTTACAAGACTATATAGTCATTTATGTTCTTTTACTTTGTCTCAATTTATGCTATAAATTTATTTAAAATCTAAAACATTATGTAAATAGCTATTATTTAATTGTAAATATATATTAATTAAATTTATATCTTTACTTCTATTGAGTTTCCAAATATTGAGTATGAACTACCAGTATCAATATAGTGATTCATAAGTTTTATAACATATAATTTTAAAACTTCATAAATAATTTTTATAGTTACTTATTAGTGATTTTCACATATATAACATTTAACCTAAAAAAGTTTCAATATTAAATTATAAAACCTCTCTAAATTTTTTTTTCAACTAAATGCTTTACTCAATTAAGTGAATTTTTTTAAAAATTATTGTTAATTAATTTATAAATGCATTTGATTATTTTGTATGAATATTAAAAATATTGCAATGTTTTGAATCACTATGTAGTTATAAACTACTGTTAATAAATAAAAATTATATCAATGTCACTTAATAAATATTAAGGTGCTTTGTATGAAAAAAAAATTGGGATAAAATTTTAGTAATTTTATTATATTGATATAAATAAATGATATAAAATAGTATAATAGTAATTATGAAATCTTAAAAGTAAGTTAAAAATTTTATTTCAGACTAGTGTATGCAAATATTGATAAACTTTTTGATAATGAATAGTTATGTTATGAGATATCATATAGTGATCAGAAATATCAATTATGTTAATATTTATATACTATAAGCTACTTATATGAGGGTTATAAAAATATTATTTATAAAAAGTAGTTTTTTTATTTTACAAGAAAATTTGTGAGATAATTCTTTGTTTAAGAATTTTCAAGAAGTTCTCTATCTAATGATTTTAAGTTTATATATTTACTTTATATAGAGTCATATTTATAGAGTAGTAACAATCATTGAATAAAACTAATAAATACTTGTATTTGAAATATAAAGGAAATGCTTTTTTTCTTTACTCTAGAATAAAATAAAGATTTTATTATTATAAAATAGTAAATATTTTTTTATGAATCTTATGTTTCAATACATTGTTAATTTTTTATGATGAAATTGTATTTTACAATGTGTGAGGGCTAAGTTCTATGCACTCACAAGTGGTATATACCTCATAATTTTCAAATAAAATCATTTAATTATTTTTTAAACTAGTTTTGTGACATTCGCATTTATTTTCAAAACAAAGCTAGTTGCAAAAAATTAATTTTTTGTTAGAAAAATTAATTTTCAAAAACAAAATTTAAAATTTTTATCTTTTAATACCAGTTTTTTTACCACTATAGTATGCAATTGTCCTATAACAGAGTTTATATGAAATTTTTATTTTTGATATAAAATTAAAAAAGTGAAAAAACTTAAATAAATTACACAACCATTCCCAGGTATTACATTTGCAAATTAAACAAAGCACAATGAATGAATTATTAAAGAAAATGAACAAAAGTTTTTTACCAAATGCAAAGTATTGTTAGTTAATGGGTTTAAAACACCAAAATTATGACACTAGAGGATCCTTAGGAGGGGCTGGTAGTATAAAACACAATTATTGAGGCAAATGGACAAATCTTGATAAGCATATACATCTTCACCAACCGAGGTAAGCCAATTTCTCCTTTCTCGGCTTTTCTTGTTTCTTTCTTAGACTCATGGAAGCTAATTTTTCAGGAACAAGCAACAAAATCATCATTGATCACATTGATTATTAGATGTATTGATTTCTTTCTTTTCATTCTTCTTATGATTTTTTACTTGTTTCCTTCTTTGATCTTGACATTTTCCAGGGGAGAAATCACCTAGGATCATGGTGTCATTGTGCGAGCTAAAGGATGTAATTGTTTTTAGTTTTTCTGTCGTAAGACAGTACATTTTCAAGTGAATGGACCTACTGAACTAAACGAATGGGTATTTTAAACTTCTTATTTGTCATTCTCGGCTGACTGGAGGATTCTCATAGCACTCGGACCTCTTCTCAACAGGATGCGAAGAGGAAATTCTCAATTCTTATTCTCGTGGTAAAGGTAGTCTTGTGTAGAGACTTTCCAAGACATGATGAGGAAATAGAGCGCTTCTCTTCCCTGAAAGCCCCAGGACCTTTTTTGAGCAGGAGATCCGATACCCGTGAGTTGCATTCTCCATTTGAGCAGGCATGGACGATCGAGGGGAGGGGAAGAGAACGAGAGCTAGATCCCGCCCGAATTCTGCTGCACAAGAAAGAAGATTGTGGTGAAGCGATGGAAGTGGTCTCACAAACCTGTTTATGCCATCTTCAGTCGCCGCAGGTACCAGTGAACAAACGACCCCATCCCAGTCTCAAAAGGTACATACGTCTCCATCTCGAACAGCTGCTGTACTCAACTTCATATGGCGGAGGATTACTCGTCTCAAGCTCGAAGATGCGAAACTGCTTTCTGGAGAGCTTGGCGATAGTGGCGAGGAGCCAACTTGTAGTACGGGAAATCTTCTCTACTCCACGATGGGAAACTTGAGGAGCGGCGCCATGGCTCACCGGACGTTGGTGACGTCAAATAGAACCTGTTCGGGCTCACAAAGTAGATCGCTTTTACCGCTCTTTCTTCCTTGGCAGCAGCAACGATCGATCCAAAACTCCTCTCGTTCAAGCTCTTGCACCATTGGTGTTCTTTCTTATGATCACTCTTGACGACTGCCACTACCTCCTTCGTAGATGATCTTCACCCCGTTTCGCTCCAGTATCGTCGATCGCTCCGTGGCCACGACATCAATCCCTAGCACATATGCATCGTTCTTTGCGAGCTCCAGAGCTCCCAGGAATCCACGACCAAGGCCCGAACGATCTTCTCTATTTGCTTGTGCTCCTGGACTGTATATGCTCCAGGCAGCGCGAGCAGTGCGAGAATCGCCAGCAAGAAGACTCTTGATTGCCAGCTCCGAGATCCAGATTAACGGCCACCCGAGATCCATATTAAGGTGATCCCCTCGAGGAAAGAATGTGAGAGACTAGGAGGAACAGCACCACGACCGGCAAACTGGATCCACCAAGGCTTTGGATTCGATCCTTCTGTCAAGTTCGGTCAAGAGAATCCCATGAGCACTCGCGCCCTCCGTGGTTGTGGATTGCGCCTCCCTCAAAACAAAACTATAGCTCTTCCAATCCAAAAGATGTCCTCCTCTTGAGTGAGGATTGAGTTCCAAGAAACGAAAACAAAACCTTTCTTTCTTCAAATACCCTCTTTGGGCATATTTGGCAAGCATGACATTCCACTCCCCGCTCCGAGAGAGCCGATCACGAGTAAGGAATATCCCATTTTCAAACACCGAGCTCTACTAAGTTTTTCAATCGTGATCGAGAAGAGCCCTGATGGTAGCTAGCTTGGGATCCAAAGGATAGAGTTACTCCCGCCAAACTTAATCCCACGGCCTGATCAATCCTGTGATGTTAGAAGAGGGATTAAGTTCTATCGAGGATTAAGTTATAAACTTCCTTTAGAGAATGCTATAGCTATGGCAAACGTCCTCCACAGTGGCAAACGCAGCCTCAAAGAAGGAAGCGTCCAGGCCATGCTTGAGATACTGATGAAGGTAGGCCTTGGAGTAAAACATGGCGTAAGCTCGAGTGAGGGCCTTGGACGCCGGAAGAATGGCACCCTGGCAATTGCTCATCATCCCAACAGCAAGCCCTCCATCCTTGATTATCTCCTTGTCGTTGGCACAGACGTTTAGAGGATCGATGCACCAGCTCGGGTATAAGCTCGGCTCCCTCATCATGCTCACGTCGGCTGTCCCGGCGCCGGGGCCCCGGAGCGCCAGCAAACTCGCCACCGATTTTTGCACCGACTTGGCCAGCCTCGTCTCGCCGGGGACTTGCTCCAGCTCCACCGGATACGCGATGCGTTTCAGCTGTTTGAGCTGCGATGGCCACGCGAAAGTTGTAAAGTCGAGGGACTCCACACGGACCTGTGTGTCAAAGTCGGGCGAAGATTGGAAACCAATGTGAGTGCGAGAATTCTCCGAGAACTCTTGAGGGACGAACCTGTGGTGTGGAGTAGACTGTGAGCATTCGGTACGCCGGATGAGCACACAGAGCGTAGGCCAAGTCGGAGAGGAGCCTCACTCGGAGCTGGGAGGAGTTGCAAGTTGAAGCTTGCGAGGCTTGGATCGGCCTCCAAAACGAAGGTAGCAGCAGCGAGGCCAGAGCATGAGCTCCGACGCTGTTCATCTCCACGAACGAAGGGCTTGGGATTCCGAGAGTTTTCTTGCAAGCCGCGACGAGGGACTCGTTCTCCACCGTGATGATGCCGTCCACGACTTCGTGGAGCTTGGCGAGCGTGAGCAAGACGTTGTAGTTTTGCACGACGACCTCGCCGCTCTGGAAGGGCCAGATGCTGTGGCTGAAGATGCAAGCGGATGGATACTCGTCCTTGAGAGCTTCCAGAACGTAAGCTCCTGGAAAAAACGTAAAAACCAATGGACAAAGCTTGGAAATCTATGTAACAACGAAGAGACTCACCAAAACCGGCTCCAGTACCACCAGCCAAGCTCTGGATGCCGAGGAAACCTCCAAAGCAATCGCATTTCTCAACCTACAGGGCACGCAGCAAGCAAAAGATTGTTTTTGTTCCGGGAAGAATGAATGAATGATCTGGTTCGTCACCTTGAGGCGAATTTGCTCCAACACTGGCTCGCGACATGTAGCTCCGTTGCTGCAGTAGCCCGCCGCCCAGTTATTTCCAGATCCACTGTCGAGAGTGAAGCAGCTGCGCGAGTCATACTTCCAAGCACCACCATTCGCCTTTCTGGTCACCGCAGCCACAACCTGTAAAGATTTGTTTGCGAGCGCCAAGCTTAGCAAGATCACCCGGCAAGAGAAAGGAAAGATGGCAATGCCGCTGCTCACCTTGGGCTCCATGTCGATGAGAAGCGCTCTTGCTCGAGGGAGCTCGCCTTTGCTCCCGCTCTCTTCGAAAAACTCGCAGGGCAAGGGTGATCCGCGCGAGGAGGCCAATGCATTGAACAGCGCAAGCCCATACTGGTTTCCACCCTGCCCAAGCTGCAGCACCACCACGCTCATTGCATCCCTTCCACGATCGTTTCTTGTTTCTCCGCCAAGAAGATGCGCTTCTTGCCCTGATAAAGAATTTCCATTGGTTGATATGCCCAAGTACTCCAGCTTGGGCTTGATGACAGTGATCTCGGACGCATCTCAATGCTAATGCCCGCCATGGATGTGCTTGAATTCGATGGGGATGCCCACAAACCCTAAATCAACCCTAAACCCTAAACTATCATCTCTTACGTGGCACGAATAGAAGCACAACAGCCGTGGCGCGTCACACTCACTGTCATCTTTCTTTTTCGTGAAATACCATTTCTTATCTTCTTCGACGATAACGAAGGCGAAAATGAAAGACACAGGAGAGAGAGAGAGAGAATGAGAGAAGGTGAGAGAGGGAGTGGTGTTCTTCTTCTACACCTAATGAGCTAGGGGGGAGCTTCTTCTTCTTTTTTCTTCTTCTTCTGTCTCGAAAGCGAGCGAGCGTGACACCGGTTGGCAAGAGTCCGCGGCTGCTTTGATCGCTGCAAACTATCACGCCTTTTCTTCCTTGGCATCGCCACCAGCATCATCCTGCTGCTTGATCAATCCAAGCACACAACGTCTCAGTTTTCGCGATCGAAGACAAGATACAAGAATGCAAAGGAGCACAGCATACCTGCATGTCCGATGTCCACAGCGTGAGATTGTCCCGGAGGAGCTGCATGATCAATGTGCTGTCCTTGTAAGATTCCTCGCCGAGCGTGTCCAGTTCTGCGATTGCCTCGTCAAAGGCCTGCGCAAAAAGAAAACGGGAAAGGTTGGATGGTAACATCAAACACTTGTAAAAGATGATCACACCTGTTTGGCCAGCGCGCATGCCCGGTCGGGGGAGTTGAGGATCTCGTAGTAGAACACCGAGAAATTCAGCGCCAGTCCCAGCCGGATGGGATGAGTTGGAGCAAGCTCCGCGAGAGCAATGTCCTGCAAAATAGGTATCCAAAGATCAATCGCAACAAAAATCACGAAGAATCACAAAGAATAAACTCTTGAACGAGATAAAACCAAGCATAGAATGAACTACGCCAGAAAAACAAGAACGAGTCGACCAACGTCAAAACAGTAGCCATAAAATCAAACCGCAAACGAACGACACACAAGAGGAGTACCTGCCTAAACCTCTCAACCAACAACCATAAAAACTCAACCAAAGCGATGAAAACAATCGACCAACAACCATGAAAAATCTCTCGACCAACCATGAAAACTAGCAATGAAATGAATCAAACACTCTCGACCAACAACCATGAGAACTCAATCAAGGCAATGAAATCAATCAAACCCACCATGAAAACTCAAATCGAAGAGAAGAGAAAGAGGGGAAATGGAAAGGGGCAAAAGAACAAAACTTGGTACCTGGGCTGATTTGTAGGCCATCAAAGTGGCCTCGGCCGCCTCCTGCCTCTCTTGGCCAGTCTTAAACTCGGCCAGGTAGCGATTGTAGTCGCCCTTCATCTTGAGGTAGAACACCTTGGACTCTCCAGTCGAGCAGGATGTGATGAGGTGGGAATCGAGAAGCCCCAAAATCCCATGGCAGATGTTGCTCAGCTCCGTCTCCACCTTGCCCCTGTAGTTCTTGATCATGCTCACATGCTCCTCGTTGCCCTTGGATTCCTCCTTCTGCTCGATCGAGGAGATGATCCGCCAAGACGCGCGCCGCGCCCCAATCACATTCTTGTAGGCCACCGACAGGAGATTACGCTCCTCCACTGTCAGCTCCTCGGCCTCCACCGCCTTGGCGACCTTCTCCATGTATTCCACCATCTCGTCGTAGCGCTCGGCCTGCTCCGCGAGCTTGGCCATGTAGACATTCTCCTCCTTGGATTCGGGGCCCGGCATTTCGGCAAGAACCTAGGTTACCTGGCGCGCCGATCGATGGATCGGGGGAAAGAAGAGGGACGGGAGCAAGAAGAGGAATGGATCTCTGGCGCCCTAGGCAGCGCCTTGCTTGCTCCTCCAAGAATCACCGGCGCGCTGCTTGGATCGGAGATGGCGATGGCGATTGCGATGGCGACGGGAGGAGCCTGGAAGAAGCGAGAGCGCAAGGGTCAGAGCAACGGAGCGCAGTAAAAATATGGATCTAGGTGCGGTAGAAAACGCTTTTTGCCATGGGCGTAACTGCCGTACACTGTGGCGGTGATGTAGAAATAAATGCCACGCCCCCATCGACGACCTAGATCAAAGCTAGACACGTTGCCTGGCATCATGACGTGGCAACACACCGACATTTGCCATGGGTGGGCATTTGCAAGCTATGAGAAAACCATAGTATCAAAAAGCGTGACCTCTTTGCATGTGTGCTAGAACCCTAGAACTGCGTGAGCGTTTTCCTTCGTTAGGCATTTTGGATTAGAGAATTTCTCTCAGTGGTATTTGCAGCGCTGGATTGTAAGCTTTTATGCAAATGCCCTCGAATTTGGAAGGATAAGTTTTTTAGGGTTTATGAGTTTAGGGTTCCAGAGGAGAAAGAGCTATGGCGATGATGGAGGCAGACATCTTCGATGCCGGGGAAGGCGATGAGGCCGGGATGTCGACAGAGGAGATGATCCGGCACACGCGGATCCTTGAGAATGAGGTGCGCGTTCTCAAGGTATGGGGAAATTCCAGCTCCAAAATATTTCGGGTGAGGAAATTCCGCCCTCTTGTTTCCTTGGCAAGGATGAGGTCCAGCGCGTGACGCTGGAGCTGGATGCAACCAAGGAGAAGATCCGGGAGAACCTAGAGAAGATCAAGCTGAACAAGCAACTGCCTTACCTCGTCGGGAATGTGGTCGAGGTATGTCAAGAGAGTTTTCTCTGCATTTTTGGGAGATTTCGTCTTATCTTCCGTGTCTAGATCTTGGATGTAAATCCTGAGGATGAAGCTGAGGAAGACGGTGCCAATGTCGATCTCGATTCTCAAAGAAAAGGAAAATGCGTCGTGCTCAAGACCTCCACTCGCCAAGTAAGTTTATTCATTCAGGAGTGAAGTGGAAGCTCTCTTTTTTCCTGATGCCACTGTTCGCCTCGTGTAGACAATTTTTCTCCCAGTGGTTGGTTTGGTGGATCCGACCACTCTAAAACCGGGTGACCTTGTGGGTGTGAACAAGGACAGCTACTTAATCTTGGATACACTTCCGTCCGAGTATGATTCTCGTGTCAAGGCTATGGAAGTCGATGAGAAACCCACAGAGGACTACAGTGATATTGGAGGGCTTGACAAACAAGTAACTGCTTCATTTCTTTGTGTTTTCTTTATTCTGATCAAAAGCTTGGTTTTAGATTCAAGAGCTGGTCGAAGCAATTGTCCTCCCGATGACACACAAGGAAAGGTTTCAAAATCTGGGCATCAAGCCACCGAAAGGAGTTTTGCTCTATGGTCCTCCGGGCACGGGAAAGACTCTCATGGCCAGGGCGTGTGCAGCTCAAACTAATGCAACGTACCTCAAGCTTGCTGGTCCTCAGCTCGTGCAGGTTCTGTGTAGGAACTCTTTACCTGTCGGGTTCTTAAACTCAAGCTTCTGGTTCGTCGCAGATGTTCATCGGAGATGGAGCAAAGCTCGTAAGAGATGCCTTTCAGCTGGCAAAAGAGAAGGCGCCCTGCATCATTTTCATCGATGAAGTCGACGCTATTGGGACCAAACGTTTTGATAGGTTTGGTCTCAAAACGGACACGGCCGGTTTACTAACAGTGACTTACATACAGTGAAGTTAGCGGTGATCGGGAAGTCCAACGGACCATGCTTGAGCTTTTAAATCAGCTTGATGGTTTCAGTAGCGACGACCGGATTAAGGTGAATATCTCTGCAACCTTAGTGAATTCTTATTCGTTTTCACGCGCAGGTGATCGCAGCAACAAACAGAGCAGATATTCTAGACCCGGCTCTGATGCGATCTGGCCGTCTGGACAGGAAGATCGAATTTCCTCATCCCACCGAGGATGCCCGAGCGAGAATCTTACAAGTTCGTTCTTCCTCGTCTAGACTGTATTTTGATCGAAAGTATTTTTGCTTGCAGATTCACTCGAGGAAAATGACTGTGAGCTCCGATGTGAACTTTGAGGAGCTGGCGCGCTCCACGGACGACTTCAATGGTGCTCAACTAAAGGCCGTGTGCGTGGAAGCTGGAATGCTGGCTTTGAGGCGCGATGCCACGGAGGTAACGACGCGTGATCGAATACACAGCTTTTTCGATCTCACTCGCTCTTTCACAGGTTACGCACGAGGACTTCAACGATGGCATCATCCAAGTGCAAGCCAAGAAGAAGGCCAGCTTGAACTACTACGCATGAGCAAATCATAGAAGGGATAGAAACCCTCGCACATTTGATTGTGAAAACTCTGATTTTAACGAACTGGGGTTTTAATGACATTCTTAGAATATCTATGCTAGAATATTTTAATTAACGGTAATCTCAACTTAATCTTTCAATGGGTAAGCCAGTTTGGAGCGGTTGTTATGTTTTTCCAAATCACTGGTCTCGCATTTGCATTATACTGTTCCAGGTTAACTTTCTTCTCTTTCGAGTGTATTGGTCTCAGGGTATTAAACAACCTGCAGATTATCTTGTCACCTACAAAGTTTTTCACAAAACACTAAACTCCCGTGGCTGAGTCTCTGAATTCCAAGAGTATAGGAATGTTGTTGCACTCTAGGTGTGGGCTAATGCCCTAGGTAATTCTTTCAATCTCATATTTTTCTGTGTAGCAGTGATATTCCCAATTCTTTGTGACACAGTCTGATTTCTATGATAAGCTCTTTATGCATTTGTTTTTTGATTCCTTGGATAAAAAGTTTATCAATTTTCATTTGTGATTCTCATACACTCTTGTTTTATGAACAAGATATCAAATGAAGGTTATGAGCAACTTTGACAAGTGTCAATGCTCCTTAAAGCAATGAAAGAACTCCATATAACTATTTTGCCTAAATTTCAACACATTAGGCCTTTTAAATTAGTTATTTTAGTTGATTATAAAAAAAAGGTGTATGTTGTGATACATGGATGGTTTACTTTGATTCAAATGCCACCGGCTATAGTCAAAGTCAAGCATTTATATCAATTAAAGTTTTAAGATAAAAAGAAATAAAAATAAAACATATGGATAAAAATAATTAACTTTAAATTATTTTTAAAAGAAATTAATAGTAAAGATCGTTTGGCATATCAATCACCCCTTTTAGAACTAATAAAATAAAAAATAATATTTTAACAATAATAGAAATAAATTAAATATAAACAGTAAAAATTCTTAAAATATTTTTTTGATCAAACAAAATATACTTTTAGATAGAAAATAGTATAATGCAATATTAATTTTCTCCAATATTTATTTTTGTTATATAACATTTTATCTCAAATGATGGATAAAGTGGACTTAGTTGTGTGTATGGGCAATCTCAAACTTGAGTATCAGTCATTGCGGGTGTTGTTGAGTCAAGCTTTTGACCTCATCCTTAGTATAAATTTGTTGCATCACAATCATACCAAATGTGACATTGAGGTTTCTCCCTTTTATTTTATACTTTTTTATATTTCATTCATTCTTCTCATTTTCATACTTTTTCATCCCTTTGCTTTTACTCTGCTTTCATTGCTTTTGTCTACCCATTACTTCCTCCTACATTTCCATCTTGTTTTGCTCTTTCTTTTTTCAATCCCTTCGACAGTCTTTCTGTTGCAATAATTGACCGGCTCATGAAAAAGTATTCTGATCTCTTTGAATTTGACATATCGTTTGGGGCCAAGATTGCCACATGTCATCTAATTCCAACTAGGGATATTTATCCAATCAAGGTCCTTGTTCGTCGTCAGTCCCTTGAAGAGATTAAGATTTTACGTGCAAATATTAAGTAGATGTTAGAAAAGGTTATTTGAAAGTCACAGAGTTTTTGGGTATGTGAACCTCATTTTGTAATGAAGTCTAATGGGAGTATTTGTTTCTGCATCGAGTATCGTTTATTAAATGAAGTGATAATCCCAGATGTGTACCCTCTTTCTCACATTGTTAATTTTTTGGATTGTCTAGGAAGAAGCTGTTGGTTCACCAAGCTAGATCTTACTTTTGGGTATTGACAAGTACTAATGGCTGAAAAAGATATTCCTAACATTACTTTTCGTACACCGTTTGGTTTGTATGAGTTCTTGGTAATACCATTTTTAATGCTTTAGCAACTTTTTAGTGGATGATGGACGAAGTTCTTTGTAATATGTTGAAGGTGACTACTAATTTCATTGATGATGTCTTGATCCATTCGAAAGGGATGTGGGAGGAACATGTCCGTGATGTTTGTAAAATGTTGGATTGGCTATGGGACATTGGTTTAAAGCTGAAGCAGTCGAAATGCATGTTTGAGTTTAAGGACATGACTTATGTTGGGTATCATATTTCTCTTGATGGTTTGCAAATTGATCTTGACAAACTTGTGGCTGTTCTAAAGTTTCTTACTCTAAAGTGTGAATGATGTACAACATTTCTTGGCCAAGGTGCAGTATTTTAGTTGTTCTGTAGATCATCTTTTTTATCACACTACACCGTTGCAAGCATTGCTAAAGTCATCAACATCATTTTTCATTTGGTCTATGTACTATAAGTGAGTGTTCATGGATTTCAAAGAGCTATTGACAACTCCTATGGTTTTAGTATATCATAATTACACTTGACCTTTTATTTTGCACGTAGATGCTTTTGATATTAGTTTTAGAGGTGTGTTAATACAAGAGAGCCCAAGTGTGCATGATCAGCACTATCCCATACATACATC